ATGAACATGACCAATAATAGGGTATTTAAAAAATTAATAATTAAAATAATGAATTATTTTACGCAAATGCAATGAAAAGATATTTCTAGCTCTTCTATCGTTTCTATGTTAATTTTTTCCGAAGCACATTTTTTTAGAGAACTATACTATTTCAGAAGCTTTTTCTCGTGAATAACATGTATCCGATAATGACTAATAAATTTCTGGCTGAGTTTAATGGAGCAATTGTCAACAGCGAAGTCAATGTCAATCAGTTAATAAAGTCGTACGTAGTATTTAGTAAGTTTGGTTACTGTTCTCTCTCTCTCTCTCTCTCTCTCTCTCTCTCTCTCTCACCTCCAAACTAGGTGGAAAGCTGTCGATGCAAAAGCAATTATCGAACAGCTGTCACGACATCAATACCTACCGCGTGAACTATTTTGAAGTGAAACTTTTAAGTTCGTAAAGGGAAATTGTTGATCCTCGTATCGAGTTCTTATCATTGACAAACTTGGCAAACTAACTTAAGCGATGAAATTTGTTAGAATCTTAACTACTATTATATTAACTAGTACAATAATTTTTTTTTGTAACTGTGATCATTATTGTATTTAACATAATATTGTATCACGTTTCCAATAAGAAGAAGTTACAAGTGAATTGTTATCTTTCCAGCAATTAGAAAGATGAAAAAAAATTAATAAATCCAATTAAAATTCGTATAATAAAACTCGACGTTTACTCGAAATTTAGTTTATTTGTTAATTGAAAAATCGGTCAAAAAGAGGAAATGACACTTGTGACAATTCTGAGTCACAAATGACACATTTCCAGTGAAAATCTTTTTTCATAGTAGTAGCGTAAGATATTGAGGACAGACATACGAGTATCTTGTGTTGTAAGTAAACAAGCATGATAAGAACATTTACAGACTTAGCCAATTTGAAGAGCGGACTATCTTGCAGCTGATCTCTCACAAACGCAAAGTGTCCTTCGCTGGTCTGTACGCAAACTTTGAGGCACGATTAATAGCTGCTGTTAGTGATTGATGTTGACATTAGTACCAGGGCTGGGAGCGATATGACTATTTCGTTAGGGGTCGGCTCTCTGCCAATGATCGATCCGCAGTCAATATACTACCACTAGGGCCGACTCATCGAATGTCGATTAGACTGGCAACCGTTCCCTCGAATTTTAGTTGACTCGCACAGTGACAAAGATCGGGCCCTCGCTTTACGAGCTTAACGCCATGCGATGCTTTATTGCTTCTAAACGTCGTTGTCCGACGCGTTTTAGTAGCGGATTTACACCCAGGTTTTCTATCACCGTAGATTTATAAAGTGCTCGTTTGATTACTTGCTAATGAAGTCTAGGTCTTTTTCCGAAGTCGCGATTAATCAATGAAGGTCCGTGTATGTATGAAAGATTATCTTATTAAATGAAATCTTCGAAATCTTGCAAGAAAAAAAAACATTAATTTGACAGTAACTTTTATCTAATATTTATTATTAGATTGATAAAGTGATTGCTATACGATCAAGAAATAAACATTTTTGTTGGTTCTTCTCATTAGCAGTTGAATTAAGCAATTATTTAATTGTTAAGTTAAAGAGTCAGTTGAATATGTAATATTAGCGCTTCTCTTAATCCTTTTCAAATATATCTAAATATAAATTGTTGACATTAAGACATTTCATAATGTCGTACTTATTTCGCATTTTAAAACAATGCCGTACGTTAATTTATTCGACGAACATTTTGCATAACGATGTAAAGGAGAGAGACAAGAATTTTATTATCATTCTTTTAATTATCTTTTTTAATTATTCTTGGAAAAAATAGTGGAAGATGTTTTTTCTCGTGTAGCATATATATGTATATCTTTTTATTTTCTTTTTAATATTCACGGTTGCTGCCTCTCCGGCTTTTTGAACAAATCTCCGGCTTTCCGACATGCGGAAAAAATCTCCGACTGATTGCTTTGAATTTTGATGACATTTTTTTTACAAGGAAACAGTAGTGTAGAAATGACGATACAAAAAATCTTATGGATCTTATTAATGATACACACAATCAAATGACATGAAATAATGAGAATCAATTGAAGTTCTTTTCCAATTTTTCAAACGAAATATCCAGCAACAAGCTTAATCTCTTTTTTTTTAGAGCAAGTGATTATGCCGAATGTTTTCACTTTCCTTTCACTTTCCTTTTTCCTTTTGAGAATTCCGACCGCCGGCGGAATATCAATCTGGATGTGGTTGACGTGATCGTAAAGCGTGACCTCGAGATTGCACATAATATATTAACACATGTACATTACAGCTGTTAAAGTGTTCATTTCTCGCGTGAACAGGTGGCAGCGCAGACTAGTCGTACGATTCTTTCGATCACAGTGCACGTAGCTCGCGCGTCTCGCGGATGTGCCATACGAATGATAATTTCGCCGCGCCGCAGGAAGGTAGTTCGTGTTGGTGGCTCGTATTAGCCAGCAGTGTACGTAACATATATTTTTATGGCGAGACTGACGAGAAATTATTTCACCGCGGAATAGAAATGTTTACGCAGTAAAAGCTATACGGCATTCGTTCGTATTTTATCCGTGATAACTTTTCGGCTTTGTCACATCTCGTTTGCCGAAGCGCGCAAACACGCTCAGCCGCGTTGCGCGTGGAATTTGCACGAAACGATTTTTCCTTTTTTTTTAATGATAGACGCGTATTTATCGTTTTGCGCTACGAACGTGTGGAATACCTAATTTTGCACGCGAAACGAAATTACGTTTTGCAAATTCGAGGGATTATTTACAGTGGGGATAATTGAATATCGCTTTTATGTCTTTCGGCGTACGTGTGATTTGCGCTCGCAAGTTCATTCTAATATACTTTCGTAATTTGAGACAACGCTGTTACAATAAACAAATTAATTCGTAATAATACACGCTCTTCCCGTGTATGTAGATTACGTTTAATGTCATTTCGCGATATATCGATTAATGGTACTGTACCGTCGAAAATACCAATTTTTAATTTCCATATTGCGCAACGGAGATTATTATTTTTCGGTGATATATCGTAAGTAGTTTACGCGTTCAATTTAATTAAAAAAAAAGGTGACTCCATTTTTTGTGTAATATGATGTTATGTTTAAAAACTAGCAGGTTTTTAAAAATACCAGATTGCAAATGTGCATGTAGCTTTACGCGTGTTGCATACTTCATGAAGAGTGAAATATGAAATGCGCGGTACTGCGATTAAACTTTCATAGACGATCGATTGCCATCTCGAGCGAAAGGCGCGGATTTCGTTCCAATGTTCCTATAATTCTCAACGAAACATTTAAAATTAGTCGGCTACCATGTTCTATTTCTTCTATTTTTTATCTCGTTTTACATTTGTTGTCGATATTCCTTCGAATTCATGCATTCATTTAATCTCTTTATTGCGATTTAATTGCGAAAAATATTACTTTAATATCAATTAACGAAGTTATAATCAATCATTATACAGTTATATCAGGACGTTTAATGCGTAAAAGCAGTCATATTACTTTTATAAAATTCGAAATTACATAACGATGGAAACAGTTTCATTAAATTCATCATAAATTATGAATCAAAGAGCCGAATCACGGTCTTTTAGCTTAATATTCACAACGATGAATATACTGCGCTCGTAGTTTTAGTTTCCTTTGGTGAAATAATTAGCCAGCTTGGACTAAAATCATATATCCATGTTACTTACTATAAGACACAAATATAATTACGTAACTTTGTGTATGTTTGAAGACTCACGTCAAGCACAGCTATTATCTAGTCAGTTAAGTAAATTTGTTTAAAGACTCACGATGAGAACGTTTTTCATGTAATAATTAGACACTTGATACGCTACGTACTCGTCTTCTGTGAAACAATTTTGATAAGATGAAAGAAAGGAATCAAATTATATTCCCAATTATGTACGTATAATGTCGGCATAATTTAAAAGGCGCCTAGTATAAATGAATTGTAGTCTATTACGTTTCATCTTTGCGTTTCTTATCTTTGCTTATCATCTTCGGAACACTGATAAAAGTACAACTAACATTATTTCGATCGGATTTTATTAAGCAATTAAAAGATATAGTACACAATTAATTGAAAACACACTTAAAAAGAGTCTCCTTATATCGGTAACATAATGGTATCTTTATATTTTGTAAATTAGGATTTCTAGGTAATATAATACTGCTATATGTTGACATAATGTAAAACACATACGAACACACATGAGCGTGCGCGCCCGTGTATATCGCGCGCGTTAGGTCAAGATATTTAATGCATTATTTTTATTTTTTTTTTCGAATTTACGTTATTATTTTCATTTGCAAAAGACATCTTTAATTATTATAAAAGTAATACCCATTCTCTAAATAAGATTCGCTATGAAAATTTTATAGCCAAATGCGATTTGATCGTAAATAGCGAAAACTCACGCGACGGATAGGAATTCCGTCGTAGGCTAATTGTAAGCATTCCCAAGTCGCTAATTAGAAAACTAGAAACTGCGAACGTTATCTCGCTCGGGAGAGATAGCAAGCTTGGCGGAACAACGCGGCCGGAAGAACTAGAACCATATTGTTTGAATTATGGTGTAAATAACCCGAAGCTAAGACATTATACTAAGCCGCGCGGAAACTTTCCTCTGAACATACTGGCATACAACTCCTGAGCCATTTTATATGTAGCGTTTATTATTAATATAGACGCACTGAAAAAATATTCCGTTGCGGAACGTAGCACAATTCTATTGAATCTCTATTTTTTTATTTTGTAAAATTCGAATTTTAAAAGAGAATTGTACAACTCAAGATGTAATTCAATTACGTGAAATGCGCATACACTTTGATAAGTATGTCTCAACACATTGCGATATGCTGATTCTTTCCTTGGTTTTATCGTGTCAGCGAAATTGCTTCGCCGAGACTCGTCGTGTAATTCGTCACCTTTAAGTCTGCTCAGTCGTTCAGTCGTTCTATAACGAAGTGCATCGTGTGTGCTGTGCACAGAGCGGAACAGAATGGTATTAAGAACAGTAAGTATAGTAAGAAACTGTGAACTTTATCTCACTCGGGAGAGTTACGCTGTATAATTAATTGCGTAATTAATTTTCTTATAGAATTCGAATTTTACGAAATAAAAAAATGTAGAATAGATTTTTGTTTTTTAGATCCCATTGCATAAAATATTTTTATTTGCACTGAATCAAAAACCCTTTATTTAAATCATTTGAACATGTGATTATGATTATTTACCGACGATATCAGCGTTTAGTAGCTGTACGGACAGTGTGCTTCCGAAGAATTCTGTCTTTGTAAATTTGTTACAAAGTTTTAGAACTTGAGTGTCGCTGCAATTCCCATATATTAAAACTTGCAACGAATTTGAAATAAGCCGCGTATTCTTGCATAGCTAACTACGTACGACCCTTATACGTATATAGTATTCCGTCAGTATCCGGATAACAAAGAGACATGGACTATTTCGTCTCCCTCTCGTATATTTTATTCCGCTTCTCCATTTCCATTGACATTCAACGACGCCATGCGGTTATTTCCTGAAAAATAACCCAGGCGAAAAGTGAGTCAGGAATCGAAAGACCGTGAAGCATTCCAAGAGTGTACAATGTGCCATTTAAGATCCGTGATCCGTGGAGAGACATAGAAAAGAACGACTTGTCGCGGAGAGAATTCTTCATTTTACCCTAAATTTTATCCAGTAAACACGAAAAAAATCGTAAATTTTAACGACGATTGAATGACGAATGATTGAGTAATCCTGTTCTTTAAATTGCAATTTTTGCGATAATAATGGTATTCAGGGTGATGAGAGCTGCGCTGAACAGCTCCCATGATTCATTCGAAAGGGGACTATTAGGGGTGTTATGATATAATCAATCATTCACGCTGTGGAAGTTTGCTGGAAAAACATATTTGCATTATGCACATACACACACGCAGGTACACACATATTGGATCGCGCAATGTATTACATTTATCAGAACTTAACGAAGCAATGCGAAAAAGCTATTACATTCTTCATTATTGCTCTAAATTGCAGATATTAGTATCAAGTACATATTTATTCCGCAAACTTTAATTAATGACGCGTTAATCTTATTTAAAGCATGATTAAATAATATGAAATTAGCGGGTTAATATAGCTGCAAAATGGTATAATTTACATGTTATTAGATTTGCAGAAAATTGTAATTTGAATTTGTACTTTGAAGTTGTAAATTGTAACGATAAATTTTCATACATCCATTTTAATTATAACCGCAGAGTACCATTACGTTATGCAATATGTTTGCTCAATATATTATTTATAGTATTTTCGACGTAGGTAGAGACACAGCTGTATACCCTGCTTCTATCTCGCATTAAACGCTGTGAAAAAACATCAGGTATTTGGTGGAAGATATCGATCATATGTTTGCCTGTACATAACACAGTGACTAATTAGTATTTTATCACTGATATTTTTTATCTGCATATCGTAATTATGTAATTAACACGTCGTATTTTACAATGCGAAAAATTGTATATTACGCATTACAATAATCTATTTTGTATAAAATTCTAAACACGCTATGAAATTTTCCTAATACGAAAACGCGTTTGAAATGTTACTAATAATATATAATATACTATTCTTTGAATATTTCCTTACGTCTATTGCCGCTGTAAAATTGCTACATAATTTATACAAATTTCATTCTGATATACTTTCATCCCTCGATCGTTCGAATCCCGATCTTAAAATCAATATAATTTCGGTGAGTCTAAATTTCGATGGAGACACGTGAAAACAATCTTGGCCTCTTTGCGAACAATGAAAACAATTAAAAAAAATGAAGTTTCTTTCGTGTCAATAGTTGAAAGTTCGATTCACCAAAATTATAATGGTCTTAATACCCAAATTCGGACTCTTACGCAATTACTGCAAACTGCCATCCCCTCACGTTTGTTTCTCGCGTGCACAGTGGACGCGCGGTTGAACATGTTAAAGTCGCTCAATAGCGGAGCGAAAGATTTACCCTTACCGCCTTTACCGCCCACGGTTATCCAGGCGAGCGCAATGGCGACCGAGAGCGGGGTTGGTAATGCCGTGTCCACGAGCGCCAGCGCATCCGGAAATTGCACTACCGTCGTCTACGCGTTTCCGGAGGATCACTTAGTGGTGGGATATCTGAATGAGTGGATCAATGCCTACTCCTTCATAACGAGTGAGTACACACCATCGGTCGATCGTTACTTTCAGCTGGTAAACCATCGGCTAAAACGCTGTTTCTATATCGACCCCGACGACTCTTGCCAGGGTTGGATACGATAGGGTAGTTTGCCCCACGAGGGGCAAAGGTCGGCTAAAGATGTTTTTCCTTGCAGCTGCCTGAGCATCTTATGATACATGCACGTGAAGAAAAATACTTTGATTCTTGAGGAGGCCTCCGGTTGATATTGAGCAGTTCAATTTTGGATGTTGAAATATATATTTCAAAACATTTCAAAATAAACAATAATCCCTCAAATAGGGGCTGTAATATATTTTATTTTTTAATTGGTGCGTCTAAATTATAGCTTCTGGTTTTCTGTCTATCGCATCCGAAATCCAACTAGTTGAAATTGACCGATTATTTCGGCCTCTCGATATTTGAAAACGTATTGAAATGATATATCCGCAATGATAGATGTAACCGCTGATTGATTTTCAACCAGCAAATGTGAGCATTGTGTGTTTGGTATTGCATTGTTTCTAGTAGTAATAATTAGTACGGCATGTTGATTGGTTTTTCCTTTTGTTTCACAGTTCCCGAATTTTATTCGAAATGTCATGTTGGACATGCTTGTCTGTGCATAGACAATCTACATAGACAATATAAATATACAACTGGACAAAAGCAGATTATTAAACGAATAAAATCGAATAGAAAGAAATAAAAATTTTGTGTGGTCTTTTTTTTTTATATATTGTTGATAATGCTCGAATCTGCTATTGTCGATGTTTTATGGAGGAGAGGGAGAAAAAAATTATGGGGGTTTAAATATGAGTGTTTGTTTAATAATTTCTGCAGACAACCGAGAAAAGTTCTACCTCTACATTATTGTATCGGTCAGCGCCGGTATCCTGCTCTTTCTGGGATTGGTTATCGGCCGCCTGTTAATCAGCCGGCATCGCGCCAAGAGGGACGCAAAGTTCCACGCGAATAACGAGACCCTCCCGAATGGATTCACCGACGATATTTCCGAGATTGATGCCGACATCGATCTCACCACGTCGGTCGCAGTACCGTTGCAGGACGCAAGGTAAACCTTTCAACAAGAAAGAAATTAGCTCCCTTCTGTTATTTATTTTACATGAGTTAATAAAATCGCTTCAGTGTACGTACTTTTACTTTTGTTTAGATCTAAAGTAACTCATCTCATTTTAGATATGCGCGAGACTAAAACAGCAGACGGTAATAAAAAGTAATTAATTCGAAATTTAAATATGTACTGCTCTGAAAAATTTTTAACACCATTTTAATCTTGAGCCTTTTTATTCTTTTATTTCACTCTTGATGACAGAAGGGACAACTCTGGAAATTTTACCTTAACTTATATATCTTTCTGCGAAACTTTTTTAATTATGTATTCTAATTGTATTCCTTATATTGTAGGTTGCCCGAAACTCAGTTGGCCGAGAGACTTCACGGCGAACGTTACTACGCCGACACGAGGATACCTCTGTCGCCGACAAGTATCCAACCAGGAGTACACGCCACGTCGGTATCCCACGCAACCAACACGGGGATGCGCGTCGATCTTGGGAACCACATGGTTGGCACGGATAATCTTCACACGATCCTCCGCACGGATAATCCCCGGAACCTCAACAGCAAAAGCTATTACTATGGCTGACAAGAGGAAGGGGTTGTCCCGCGCGAGGGACGACCCCCGTCCTTGAGCCCGGTGCCGGAAGTTAGCACGCGAAAATATTGCTTTTAATTAATTGACTGAACGGAACGGCAGAGACCGGGCATGCCGCGCCAAGCCGCTGTAAATTACGTTGAAGACGTTAAAAACAAGCTATCATTTGTTGCGCCGAACTGCGATACATAATTGTGACAGTGCGATCTCAGATTTTTGTCAGTCGTCAGACGCCAATTGTGAGTGTCTGTCGATGTTTGTTAAAATAGACTTGTATATCTGTAAACGTGTCGTCCATTCCGAGAATTTGAGAAAAAAAATTCTCGATTAGAAATGTATAATCTATCATCAGCAAAGATGGTGTGGGAAAGGAATGAACGAAATATATATATATATATATGTATATATATATATATATATATATATATATATTTTGTATATAGTTAACATTGCCTTGTTGCGATATTGCAACGAGAACAGTGTGAATCGATCTGTAAATGTGCAATGTATAAGGAGGAATCCGAGTGATTTCTTCGAAGTAGGACTGGAATAGCTTTAAGGACCACCGCAAGCATTTATGTTGAGCTGTGCGTTTTAAGCGCCCACACGACAGTTCTAGAACGAACAAAAATATGCATCGTGCAATCAGACACGTGGCAGTATTTGTTGTCGAATGCTGTCGCTCTTCCCAATGCAAAATGGTATCGGAAAAGTAGACATATATTGCGGATAATATTTATTTCTCGAATTATTAAACTGTAAAATCGATGGAATCGAGTTTCGTTGTTTAGATAGACATATCCTATGGAAACTGTGTTATCGACCTCGTCGACTCACGATTTACTCACTGTATACCTTATACTCACTGTATACTCAACTGTATACCCACGGAAGAAACTCACGGAGCGAGTTCCGAGGAGCATATCGATAACCTGCCGGTAACATTTCGCTGGTAATAGTCTTCTGGGACACTTGTTATTCACAACTGGTTTGTGTAGCGATCTGTGCTATATCAGTGGAAGAAATCAACAGATTTCCAACATTCGTTCCGAAAACGTCGACAGTATGCGAAAAGCAACTTGGAACATTGAACTGTTTACGAGGAGTGATATTTTGTATATAATTTCCTCGGTACCGAAAATACCTAAGCAGGCCAATTTCCGTTGAAATCTGCAAGACAAACCGTGTTAGAAAAGTCGATATTATTCGACGTTTTTATTTTGTTTTGTTTTTTTTAACCGATCGCCGCTTGTGCGCACCAGTTGAAAATTTTATTGACCACCACTGAAGGAGCAGCGCGGCCGAACGCGATCACGCCCGCACTCTCAAGAAAAATCTCTCAACGAACTTACAGCGGTTTTGTGTATCGAAGCTGCCCACAGTCGCTGCCACAGCCGAGACGATTTTTATAGAAATTGATATGTATGTACATCACACTGTAAATAGAGGACATGTAATGTACAGATAAGTAAGCGAGAGAGAAAGAAGGGGACGCGCGTAACGAGACTTAAATCGGAAGCGGTCGGAGAGATTGTAGTACTGGAGGGCTGTCCTTCGTGCCATAGAATCGATTTTGCAATTGTGCGGGAAAGCGGGAGAGCGCGCGTCTGTCGAGCCAGCGAAAACTCTCTCCCTCGCGGGCGATCGCAAGGATTAGTACGTAATAAACAGAGCTCGGATTTTCCTTCCTCCTAAGGCGTATAAAACGAGTGCGCCTTCTCGCCGGTGATGCGCAATCTTGTTTGTCACATGTGCTTTCTCATCTGGCTATTGATCGCTAAGATTGTACAGGAGCAATGACAGGGTCGCATTGCCGTTCAGCGAAATCGGAACGTCACGAGAAAGTCGGCGTATCTGAAAGTAATCTGACGAGGCGGAACTGATTGAAATGTCTGATTTCGAATTTAATTGCATTTCGAGTCCATTGATTAAATGGAGCCCTAATAATAGGGGTGTGTTTTCTTTCAAGGAAAGCTTTAAAGATACTTTTTCTTTAGAGAGAGCTTAATTTTATTTTTCTAAATTAAATTATTTAATTTTCTGTTTAATTAGTCGAATTTTAATTTTTGTATCTCTTACGTAATTTTCTAATTTTTTTAATGACATAATATTTCTTAGTTTTACGTTTCTTTACGAGTATTTTTTAATGTTGACTGAACACGGTAATGTACTTATCTACTTAGGTAGCGTAGAAAATGTGAAGGAAATGTCAAGATTCCATTTCACGTAAGGAAAAATTACGTATAGATTGCGTATCACAGGGCCACGCCATTATTATTTCGCGAGCCGCATTAATGTAATTTCGCTCAACTACCCTGTAGTGCACGATAAATCCGAGCTCCAGCCAAGCCCCGTTCTCGTTGTTTGTTTGTACGTCGTTCGGTAAGTCGTAATCCCCTGAAACTCGCACACAGTGTCGTTATGACGAATCGATTTCGCGAGCATCCGGCGACGCGGAGTCGCATTTTCGACACATCAGCGGGGTCGTTAACGCAATAACGCCCGCACTGGTCGTTATCTTTAAGGACTGGGCCATCAGTTAGGTAATACGTCGAAGTCGCCGGAACATCGTCCATGGCATAATTTGACACCGCTCTCTCTTGCACGCGGAATCGCGATTATCGGGGACATATATCATTCTCGCGCGGATTGATTTTTCGTCGCCGTCCGCCGAGATGAAAGGTATATGCGAACCTGAATAACTCGTGCGAAAAGATACACTCCTCAGTCGTATATAGACATACGTACACATCCGCACATACATTAAACATATATTTTTTTTTTACGTGAACATTAATATTTCTTTTATACACCTGTGTATATTTTCGCATTAGGATTGACACAGCCGGTGTTTTTATTCTCATATCTCTGAAAAAGAAATTGAAACCTTTTGCGAGGAGAAAGTTGGGTCAATCAACGCATGTGTCTCTTTACCTCTATGTATACGTTTCTCGTCAACAATTTCGCGAGATCTCTCTTTATTCATCCATCTGTCTATCTTTTTTTTTAATCTCCTCATTCTCCTGTACGAATGAATAGGGCAAACGGATCGATTACTCTGGCGAGCGACTGTCGGTCATTGAAAAGGATTTTTTTTTTTTCACGAAACAGGAATTAATTTTGTAATCCCTCGATACTCTATCTGTAATCTATAAACTAAAAAAAAAAAAAAACATTTTACGATTCTTTATTTTTATTACAATCAAACCTATAGTCTATATATCTGAACGGCACGAAGATTGATCTATTTTTGTAAAGCACATTTAATAATTAATTTTTTTTTTACCTTATTGTCTTTATATGTTGTTTCTAGTACATCTCGCGTGGAGAAACATCGAATTTAAAGACTCTCCGAAATCGGCACTATCACGACATCGATAGAGAGGCAACTCGATTTCCGCGAGCCGGCGATTCGAATCGTAACGGTGTAACCGAACGTGTAATCGAGTGCCGATAGAAAATATAATTCCCGAGGGCCATTATCACGCGGCTACGCTCAGCGAAATCCGAAAACTACGGAAAACCGAGTTTCTTCGCGGTCGAGATGCAATTACGTAATCTTGCGCGTGCGCGTTCTTTTTTTTTTTTTTAATTAGTCCGCGTTAATTAAGGTTTACGTACCGCAAAGCTGTGGAGGGGCCGTCATCCGGAAGAAAATCCTCTCATCAGCGCGAATGGTTCTTCTTCGTTATTATTCTTCCACTTTCCGCTGGCTGCCTCCGCGAGCCCCTCCGGTTTTCTTTTGTGCGGAAACCCCCGCGGAATTTCAGCGACGGCGCCTTATATTTATGCAAATAGTGTCGTGTAACATTTATGCGTCTCGAGGCGTTGGAAACTCGGAAACACACTCGCCACTCTCGCTTTTATTTTAGTATCCTCTTTATTCCTATCTGCCCCTGTTATTTTCGTCCCTTTTTCTCGTCGAGACACACCAGTAATATCATTCTTAATTCGTCCGTAAGACTTTCCTACGTTCAAGAGATGGTACCATTTTCAGAATACACTCACACATACACATACACGCTCCATTAATAATATATCGCGTGTTATGCATAAAGATACCGCCGATATATTTCAGCGGCAGAGCGATCGATGTCGCTTTAAAGTTTGTTCCCGCGCCCCAGGGACGCGTTGTAGTTGTATACGCCGCGCGTGTTGCATTAATATTTCGTTGAACGTGCCGCGAAATCAGAAAAAATAATTTCGCTCGGGGAATCGTTCCGCGCGTTTCTGCTGTGAGCGGCGAGATGACGGCGGTCCGATAACGTTTCCCTCCCTCCCCCGCTGTTGTCCATTAGTATTTACATGACAAGATGCAAATCGTACGCGTCGCAAGCATCGCCGTCTCTAAAATGCAAATTAGCTGTGTAAATACGTTATAAGAAGTGCCGCTTGTACAGGGTTTTTTTTCCCGCGTTCGCCTCGCGTCTCTCTATTTTCGAAGCTGCACGACCGCGCGTGCCGATTCTCTTTCGCCCGCTGAACTCGCCGACAATCTATCTTTTTACGCGGAACGCGCCGAGACCCCCTCTCTCATTATCATATCGCGGCCGTATAGCGCGAGCTAGCGCGCTTTATTTATTCTCGCACCCCCATCGCGTTCGTCTAGCGGGATGAATGAATTATATACCAAAGACGCTTCATTGAGCGGCGATCGATCGATCGGTGGTTGAAAAGCCGACGGGTAAAGCGGCGGATTACACACGCTCCTCTTTCACCGCGAATCGAACTGGCGTCCGTAAAAAAGCAGGCGAGCAATATTTCGTCAGAGACAAGATTTATTCATGCATAAATGTGTGTGTGTATGTGTGTGTTGTATAAAACGTGCATAATACTGTGATGGTACATTAATGACGAAATATTAAGGGAGCGTAAGTGTTTATCGGACTATGCCCGTAGCACAAACATTTGCTCCACATTCGTCTCTGTTATCTTGCGCGTTATATCTATTAACGTTATTGTACACGTTTATGCATTAAAAAATTTTGCATATAACCCAGTATTTGCCAAGTGGACGAGACCGTGTTTTAATTTTCGAAATGGAATAAAATTCCGATGATTTAAGTTTCTCTGGCTTGTCTGGTTTTTTTTATCGGTATTATCGTTTTTAATTAATGGACGAAGCCATGGAGAGCCACCAGAGAACTTCGCTGAATGGTCTTGCAAAATTTCGTCGTGCGTTTCATCGCGCCCCTTTACCTCGTCCGGTATTAATTAGTCTATTCTCGTTGAAGCAACTTGTACGGAGTGCCTGATATTACCTAACGAGAAGCGTCCATAAATCGTACGTACTCGAAACCCCGTCGTCATGCACAAAACTCGCAATATTGTACGCAATCGTCCGCGACGAAATTACCGGCTTTAAGAGCG